TCAGGGTCGGTGTAAAGGGGCAGAGACCTGAGGAATAAGCTGGATGCCAAGAAGGCAGAAGCCTCAAAAGGGGTCAGTTCTGCAATCTCAACGGAGGAGGCAAAGGCCATCATGGAAGAGGTGGCGAGCTTAGAAGAAAAGCTCACAGGTGATGTCGCCGGTTTGAAGAATGATGTGAAAAGCCATGTGAGTCACCTGCAAAGAACCTGGGGCAAGTGGCGGAGGTGGTTAATGTCGACATCGCTTCTAGTCGAACTCATGGCCACTTTCCGCAGAAATCATGGCACCACCTCTCCTAGACAAATACAAGTCCCCGTCGATCCCACTATACGATGGCAGAGGAGATCTCGACGACCATCTGGAGATGTACACGGGACACATGCTTCTGTATGGATACACAGAGGAAATAATGTGCCGAGCGTTCCGGAACCACTTGACGGATTCTGCCCGAAGATAGTTCCGGACACTCAAACCAGACTCTATCTCCAGCTGGGAAAAATTGAAGGAAGCTTTCTCCTTCCAGTTTATCAGGGTAAAAAAAGTATATGCCGCCGAAGCAAAATCTGACAATGGTTTACCAAAAACCGAACGAATCATTAAAAGAGTAGCTGGCAAGGGACGGTGAAGCCATCCCCACTACAACAAATATGACAGATTGAGAGGCTCTGATGGGGGCTCTATCTAGTATGAAAAAGAGCACGTTGTTTAAATGCGACCTGAACCAAAAGCCGCCAGCCACCTACAAAGAGTTATTAGCACGGGCGCACGGATATATCAACGCCGAAGAAGCTGAAGCAAATGATCCCGAGCACAGATCCAATAAAAATAAAGGAACGGAGCAAGGGTCAACCTCGGGAAAACAAAATAATAAAAAATGGTGAGGTGGAGGAAACTGAGACAAACAGGTCGCGTTGGTGTCGAACACTCCAGAAATGAAGAAGCTAAGGCAAGAGGAAAATCAGAAGCCTTGCCTAGTCTAACGCTATGATTCCTACCATGAGCTAACCGTAGGGGTCGAAGAGGTGTTCAATTAGGTCAGCAGAGGAAACTTGTTGCGCCGATCAAAACCTATGAAGTGAGATCCAAACCGAAGGAATTAAAATAAATACTTCAGGTTCCATGGAGACGTCGGCCACAACACCAACGACTGCACCGACCTTAATGATGAGATCGAAAGACTAATCCGCGAAAGGGAGGTTGTAAGAATTTAAAGCTTATAGGAGATGCCATGGTCACGAAAATGATGGTCGGCGCCGGGAGGATAATTAGTTGGGAGAAGACCGTGAGCCAGTCGGTGTCCTAAGGACCATCCATGGATGACCATATCTTGGGGGGAATTCAAGGGGATCCCAAAAGAATTACGTCCACGAGGCAAGATAGGTGTACCAAAAGAGGTTTTGGAACCTTTCAACTGCCAAGCCAACAAAGACAGTAAAATTCAGTGGTATTGAAGTGGTATTCACCGAAAAAGATGCGAACGGGGTCTATTTCCCCCATAATGATGCCATGGTCATAAAGGATGTGATTGGATACCACACCGTACGTAGAATCCTCATGGAAAATAGAAGCTCGGTGGACATCTTGTACTCTGATTGCCTGAAAAATATGGGAATCCCAAAGGAACAACTGGAGAAAACATCCCGACTATTATACGGGTTCACACGGGACTCGGTTGTCCCCCAAGGAACGATTAGGCTACCTATAACCGCATGAGAGAAGCCTAGGCAAACAACTACGATGGTGAATTTTGTGGTAATTAAATGGGGCTCACAGTACAACGCCGTGATCGGGAGGCCGACTCTTCAGGCACTAAGAGCAATAACATCCGTCTACCATCAAAAGGTTAAGTTTCCAACCCCTAATAGCGTAGGAGAAATGAAGAATAATCAATACGAATCTAGGGTTGCATACTCAGATGCCATATGAGAATATGATCAACTAGGGAGACAGGAAGCAAGAATGGTACATCAGGGACCAGTTGAGGACATAGATCCTAGAGTCGAAGAAGAGATTACATGATCCCAACCAATCGATCAGTTGGTGGAAATCCGGGTAGATGACGAGGAGCCGACGAGAGCACTAAAAATAGGCTCGGATTTGCCCCCAGCGCTTAAAATCGAAGTTGAAGATTTCCTGAAGAAAAATCTGGATGTGTTTTCCTAGGCGCATGCTGATATGGTAGGGATCGACTCTGAAGTCATGTGCCACGCTTTGAACGCCGACCCCTCTTATCCTTCTAAACGCTAAAAGTGTCGACCGATGAATCCGGGGAGGTACGAGGCATTGAAATTATAATTAATATATTATATAACTATAACGTGTATAATACACTATAATATTATAATTATAATATTATAATAATATTTAATTATATTAATTATTATACTATTATTGATATAATAAATATAATTATATCAATATAATAAAATGTAATAATATTATTGTAATATTATTAATATAATAAAGATAATTATATCAATACAATATAATATATAATATATTATAAAATAATAATTA